CGGCGTTAAGTCGGTGTGTGCGAAAACTATACTTTTTCTAATATTTCTATACAGAGGGATGCATTCGATTAAAATACTACTTTTAAGGAGGGACAAGAGAATTTATTTCTAAGTGTCCGTTATCCGTCCGCAAGTTTCACAGTGGTCTGTATATTCTCAGTGGAGTAGTGTATCCGTATCTCATGAACAGTTTACATTTTGTCACTGTCTATTTTTTGGATAACAGCCTTTCTCCTACTAATAGGAAATTTGGTACGCATATAGTTTATGACTTTGATTGAGACAAAGGATACTTTTTATCTTGAAGGGATTCTCAAAACGGCCGATAGTAATCAAATAAAAATTTAAAATTTTATTGCAGCTGTTCAAAGTGTAGGTTAGTGTTACATCGATTGGGGAGGTAGTTGGCAAAGGGCGTTAATAAGCTGCATACGAGAATAGTATTCAGGAAAATTTTAAATTTGCCTTGATCAAGGATTGGGATCGTTGTGGGGATCCAAATAAATCCCAAAACTTTTTTCCGAGTCTTTAGTTGACTTTTGACTTACAAAATCTGTACTTATCTCAAATGTCAAACCTTCTACGATGGCTCCGAACCCTTTATCTACTCACACTTGACACGCATATTTTTTTTAATTAAGTTAAATTAACATTATAATAATTTATTTGTCGTAATATAAGAGGATTATTGTCCACCCCAGTCAATTCTCAAACAAGCAGTTTCTATTTTTTTTTAATTTGACAATTATATAAATTGCATAAAAATAAAAATAATAATAATAATAACAACAACACACATAACATTCAGAAGACAATATCTGAAAAAATTAGTAAATACTCAGAGCTCAAAGATGAACTAACTAGAATATGGCGTCAACAAAAAGTTTACGTGGTTCCTATAGTCCTCTCCACAACAGGCGTCATTCCAAATCACCTTCTCCATAGCCTTAAATTAATAAATCTAAAAGAAACCCTCTTTATCACCCTCCAAAAAGCTGCAATTTTAAATACATGTCGCATTGTTAGAAAGTTCTTGCAAATAGATGAAAACGAAATAGGTTCTCATCACAATAGTACAACATAACCTAACACAACACATGCTGCACTTACTTGGTTTCGGCCCGTAATTGTAGTAAAAACCAGCCAAAGAGCTGAGAAGAAAAACACTCAACAAATAATAATAATATGGTCTCCAGCCATCGCACCGCATCATAGGGCTTCCAATTGAATATTCCATATAATGTATTACGCAAGCCCATTGCGGATTAGTGGGTGCTAATAATTGCAGATGCAGCTGGGACCAACGGCCACGGAGGAGCAACAAACAATAAATTTTTGGTCACCCACCCCTGTAAGCGGCCATTGCGTAAATGCCTATTTACCAAGTTCGCAGACCGTTCGCCGACCCGTTCAGCCATAGATCTCCTGCTGGTATTGTAACAACAGGAGTATTTTGCTAATATCGTTAAACTGTACACATGTTGTACCTAGAACTGATTTTTCTTTTTATCAAAATTACCAACACGCTTTGTTACTAAGATTTTGTCTATGAATTAAGATTTAGACTCTTTAACTTATTTCTACGGACGCGGAAATTAGCCCGAAACTTTGAAAATTGGTTTTCAGTAAGTCAAATTTCCAAATTGACAGAATTTCATATCCTTACCTTTTAAAATTTTGATATATATTTAAATACAAGCTGTGCCCCGCGGTGTAACCCGCGGTTTATTAGGGATATTTTCCCTCAGTGAAACGTAGCCTATGTGTTAATCCAGGGTGTCAGCTAACTCCATACCAAATTTTATTAAAATCGCTCCAGCAGTTTAGACTCGAAGAAGTGACAAACATACACACCACATACTTACAAACTCTCGCCTTTATAATAAATGTAAGTATCACTGAAGAGGAAAAATATTTCTCATATTCGTTAAATCACATTCCGTGTGATCGAGCTACGCAATTGCATTAACGCATTCAATATTGGCGCTAAAAGCTTGTTCGTGTACGCTTCTTTACACATTGAAATGTAAAAACTGTAAATTTTCCATTTTCCCTAGTTTGCACTTTTGCTCTCTGCGAGCAGTGGAAGCGCCACCTGTTGCGCATGCCGCAACCTTTTTGTTGATAAAGTTGAAACCTTGCAACGGTGCATCCAATTGCGTTGCCTCCGTGGGGTGCTTTCAGACCTTTCTCGGAAAAAGTTTGAATTAATTGCGTTGTTAACCCGGGGTTTCCCCAAGAGAGAACTTTGCCTCAGCACAAGCATAATATATATCTAAACGAGCTAATGCACAAAAAGAACATCTCATTTGAATCTAGAAAAGCATGTTATCAAATCTGAAAGATTAGAACCCTGAAAACAGATTCTAGGTAGAGCTTCCTGTTTTTTGTAAAATGCTCCTAAAATAGTACCGATTACAAATTTACCCCACTAATTTGATGATTCTATTTATGTACTGAATGAAGTGTGTTTATATTTAAAGCTCATTAGGGATCGAAGAGTTTTGTATAGGTCATCTTGAGTCTGAATGAGCGGAAATTTTATACGGTATTAAGAAATATTTAATAGTCATCCATCATCTGCCTTTTGAGGTACAAATAGAGGATTCGATCCCGGTCATATTTTAGTCCCGTAATTTTCGGGATTAAATGTAATGAATCCCGGGTTGTTCGGGATTGAATTATTTTTATATAAATCAATAAAAATGTGCGTGAAACAAAACGCGCTTACTTTCATTTGACGTTTTGACTACCATCTTGTTTACACAGCTGACTTCATTCATTTTTGCTAACGACCAGTACCGGATTATGTGTGTGAAAAATCCGCTTCACGTCGTGTCAGTATCGATATTTTTTTATATTGATTGGTGGTAATCAATGAATTTATTAAAAAACAACCAATGCATTAATGTGGCTGAGTAAATATAGATGACAAACAACGAGTATTTTTCTGTAGCTCTAAGAGGTTATGTTAAAGTTGTGCATAGGCTTAAATGTTCTTTTCAGTTTTGTTTATGTTTAAGAACTAAACAATGTCATTATCCAAAGAAAGTTTTGATGTCATGCATAAAAAAGATATCCAGTGGAGTCATTTTTAGTCGATGAAACGGGTAGCTCGGCACAATGTAAGCGTTGCTTAGCTTTTTTTAAAAAAGCTCTAGGCCTTTGGTTGATCCTCCTAAGGTCTTTAAGACCTTAGGAGGATCAACCAAAGGCCTCAATACTCATCTATCTTCAAAACATTCCGTGAAAGTAGTTTCTGCTAAGGCATCTTCCTCAACGGACCAAAATAATGATAGTCTATATTCTTTTTTATAGTATATCTAAACAAATCTTAAGAATAAGATTTTTTTAAGTTTGTTGTAAAATAAAATAAACAAACTAGGCAATTCTGTAAATAATTTATGAAATAGTTTCACACTTACAGAAGTGCCTAGTATGTTTATTTAAAAGAAGAAAGTATTTTTGTTTTTTAAAGATTAAAAATAAATGATTTTACTGAAGATTTAATATATAAAGTTGATTTTGATATGCTTTACTGTCTTTTTCTTACTACTTTCTATTACCAATACAATCCCGAAATCCCGGGATTGGAAAAATCCACCGGGATCGAATCCTCTAGGTACAAACCTTCCTTTCGAATAGATAAATATGTTTAATAATAATCGTCTACAATTCCTGGGCGCTACATTACAGCACAACCGACAGCTTAATCTGTCTTCTAAAGCTGAGGCAGTTTGGTGGATTTATGCAAAAAAAAAGAAAAGAAAATCTGTTCTGTGTTGAAATGATTACAGTGAATAGGTATTGCTTACTATAAAATATTTCGAATCTAATTTTGCGAATCTTATACACTTACCTAATTAAATATACTTAACTAAGTATAAGGTTCGCAAAATTAGATTCAACATATTTTTAAATGAGTTTACCTACATTTTTTTTATTGTTTATCCCAGTTAAATGATATCGGTTTTATGATATTCGAGTAGAAGTAAGCAACTTTGGCAATGGTCGGTCATTGGATAGGTAATAAAAAATTTAGTATCTCTAGCCAGTCTGTGCTTCATACGCCACGTTAACATGTTGATCCCGTCTGCATCTGCAGTCTTTAACAACCACTAACCCGCTATGGTGGAAAATTGCCTAACGGGATTGCTATGGCTTTCGCTATCGCTTACGATTTCGTTACCTCACGCTCATTTTCTTTTATAACGAGTGCGAGACATTTGAAAACCTTCAGCGGTCATAAATAACAAAATGAAATCGTAAGCGATAGCGACAGCCATAGCAAACGCGTTAGGCGATTGACCCCCAGGGCTCACGTTATGGCCCAATCTCCTTATTCCATCCATTCGGAAGATTCAACCGCAGACTGATCGTGAATTATTTCAACGTCCTCTTTACTTGTTACCGTTAATTACTTCTTAAAATGTTTAATTATATTAAATTCATGAATCTGCCACCTCGAAATGTAAACAATCGCAGCGCCCACCCCCGCTCTCACGAACCGCTCCATCTTAGGGGCGCGTTTTAATATTGTTTAATTAAGCATTATATAAAGCTTATAAATTCTAAGGGTTTCATTTGTAAACTGTCAGGTGAACAGGTTTCGGGACGGCACAAAATCAAGTAAGAATACTTAGTTCGTGAATTTTTGTGTCGTATAAAATTGGTAAAATATCACATTTTATATTCAACTATTTCGTTAACGATACCTTCCGAGTTGTGGTTAAGAACCAAATTGTTAGATTATATTTATAAAGTAAATACGCAATCACTGCTATTCTTTAAAATGCAATCTCATTTTACAATTTTAAAATAAGTTATTGTGACACTTATAGCACTCGACTCGTGAGATTTTATTATACAGTGTCCTCTACAGATCCGTCGGCGTAACGGAATTCCTCAAAATCATATGTATGTACATATGTCCATCAAACGGCTTTCTGCGACAGCTTTTATTAAGGCCAACATTTAAAGACTTTCATTTGTTTCAGAAGATGATTGGCCCCCAGATGGATCGCGAAACGATGGTGAGTTCAATAACATTCAACTTAGTATAATTAAATAATCTTCAATGTACTTTGTGGTAAAACATTGCTTCAGAGGAAATGATATTATATTCAAAGTAGGTCACTTCTAACGAGAGCGAAAAGTAATCGACGGGTATCGAATCGCGCTGGCTAACTTCAGGCAGTAACATCCATCTTATAGAAGACGGCAGCAGAAAGGATTCTATCCTTTAAGACCGAATAGCACAGAACCCGGAGGCGGGGCGGTGGCGGTCGAGAACCGTGTCAGACGTGGCGGTCGCGTTGGGTGTTTACACATTGCCAGGCGTGCCGGGGCGGTGGTGGCGCGGCGGCGTCGCGGAGGCGTCTTAGTCTTAGTCTTAGTAGAACGGCGGGCTGTTTCCGCAACTCGACAACTAGTGCCTATTTTGCGTGGGGATGGGCATCAGTCCTGCCATCCCAGCTCCTCCAGAAAGCTCAGCAGTCCCCGAATGTTGCTGCAGGCCTCTACTATTGTCTTCGGGCTTCCCATCAGAGAAGTCCTTTGTCTTGCAACGCCCTTGCACACCAGTAGAACATGGGCGCTCGTCTCCTCGTCCTCCAGGCAGGTCGCGGAGGCGTTTCGGTGCCTCTTGTGGCGTCGCGTCGCGGCGTGCTTTATAAATGAAATTGACAATAATGTCTAATGAGCCTGAAATCCATTGTAAATATTACAAATCGATTAACAATTTTGTAAAAGACAACTGATTCAACCGTAAGTACCACGCTGCCACCACTTTGTGTGAAGTTACTCCATTTACTTTAAGGAATACAACGGTCACGGCGCACGCCTCCGTCCCGGCGCACGCCTCCGTCCCGGCACCGCACCGTACCGCCCCTCCTCCGCACCGCGTCGCCTACCCACCGGTCCGGCTTTTGTGTAGTAGTCTTTCATACTAATTCGAACTATACAAAAAAACCGCCTCCACCTTCGGCTTCTGTGTACTTTGGCCTTTAATGCCGTGTTACAGAGATCCACGGGCCCAAGATGGGAGTAGGGTAGGCGAGTCATAATTACTGTTTGGTATCGCAAAATATAGGTCATAAAAATCGTTTAGCATCAGTTGGGTCATACTTTGTGTTTTATTTATTTTTGCAGTACATTATGTTACTGGCTATCTGTGTGATTCAGGTATTCTGTGTAATACTATGCAATTCGTAGATAATGAGTACCTAGGTATTGTAAAGACTACTGGATTATATAGACTGTCGTTAACACATATAGGTAATGTCATTATAAAGTAGCTACTGTTCACAAAAGTCACCAAGCGCTAGAAATCTTTATTTTTACAATATTTTTTCATACTTTTAACTCCTTATTAATGAACAAAGACTACGCTTGGATTAGTTAATCCATGTTTTGTCTTCGTCTGTTGAATGACAAATGCCATTTGAGTGACATGAACAAAACATGGCGTAACTTGTCTAAGTATTATTCCTTGTTTATTAATAAGGGGTATAGAGCTTAAACGAGGTAGTCTTATGTATGTTCTCACCGATTCTTATTATACGACTACCAAGAGGGGTCTAGTACCCCACTGGACCTTCATAATTGGACATTACCTACTCTTTGCTCTTATCTCATAGGACTAGTTGTCTATTTTTTCTTTGTGATTACTCCTTTTAGTCTCTGCTAATTTCAGAAAATGTGGTTTAGTAACAAAGCATTTTAATAATTAATTGTTCAAAATAACTTATTTTGTTTCAATTTCTTAATTTGTACAGATACATCTAAAAGTTAACTTCAAGGTGATAAAAAAATATTATGCAGTTCGTAAACATAACGCCATATTTCTAGGATCACTCAATCTAAATGCGTCAGGATTGAGTGATCCAATAAAACTATCATAGATTCCTGGAATTACGTTGAAGTAACTTGATTTTTTGTAAAATAACGTGACAAATTCTGTACAATTTTTCAATATCAAAATTTCGTTCACAACGTTAAAGTTTTCCGAGATTCAGCGTATACTATTTTTCCTAATGTCTGAAATGGGCAATATCTTGCCCAAAATGTGGATCACTGAATTCGCTTGAGAGTGACAAATTTTTTGATTTCGTTTATGAGTTTTGACAATTTTACACTAAATGTACGTTTTGGTTATATTGAAAACTAAAAAAGGATCACTCAATTCAGATGCACATCTTTGTTTGTGATTTACTCGTAAAGCACATATTTCTACCACAAGTCCAGCATGGAGATTCTCATTATAGCATTGAAGCTCGCACTCCAGTTGGACATAAATATCAATTATGAGCAGAGAATTAATTTAATTAAAATATACGCTACGTAACAGTTATTATGAGCTCTGAAATCATTATACATGTTACTGGCAAACTGTATAATATGGCATTCTATACAATAGGCAATGTATAAAATCCCTGAAACGTAAAGGCAATGTATGAAAAATTATTCATTTTATACCTTGCCTAGGTATTCTCTACAATGCCTAATTAAAAGAAGGAAGCAATTCGACTTTTCCTTTGATTTATTTATATATTATCTGTGATTATTCATCTATTATCTATCAGGTGGCTGGGTCATCGCCGGCCGTTACCTCGGCACGCTTGCCTTGCTCGCTCGGCTCGCGCTAAGTTTAAGTCACAACCCACTGTGAGTTGGTCAAACGTTCATTGATCTGTAGATCATTCGGTGAGAATTATGAAATCCGTTCGTTATTTTATATCTAACTGGGTAGGCTATATAATATGATAAATAATAGCCAAAATCGGTTAATTTACACAAAGCTGGTGAACCAGCAGGTACTCTTTACCTAGGCAAAGTATAAAATGGGGAAAAAAATATAATATTTCATCAGGCATTCTATACATTGCCTAGGTATTGTTTAGAATACCTGAATTATACAGATTGCCGGTGACATAACAAATTGTTTTTTCCACATCGTCGAGTACAGACAAAATGGCGTGTCTTTCTTCGACATTTTATTGTTATTATATTCGTTTATCGATACTTCTCCAATTTCCCATCTGTCATCGGACAGTACCATTTTTTTCACTTTCACTCACTCGGAGTCACTTTTGCGGACCATTTCATCAAAAATCACGCCAAACATTCAATGCCTTTTAAGCCGCGATCTATAGACATTTTGCTGAAAACTCTCATCGCATGGCTCTTCGTAATTCCGAAAAAATATTCGACATTAATCAAATTATTAGAATATGATACAAAAACAAGGTAAGTAATTAGAGCTATTATTTAATGCTGCTGTTTAAACTGTACATAATTTTATAACGGTTAAACTGATTAAATAAAATATAAAATTACTGAAATTGATTCATTTGCATATTTGTAACAAGCTGCTTTCAGTATGTTGCGTTATTTCTGTTACACGTTGTAGGTTATAAAAACATTTGAGCAGAAATTGCTGCCTGATACAACGATATCATGGTTTTAATATCATTTGACATGATACTTGTAATATAACACATACGTCACAGTCAAGTTTAAGCAGAATCCAAACTGTATGTATGTAACTTATTATTATCAAATCAACTGCTCGTCTGGCAAAAAGAACCTCAAATAAAAGTAATTTTTCTTTTAAAAAACAAGCTTTTATTTAAATGCGCTAAAAGAAAAAAAAAATTTTACATGGGGGCTCCCACGATTCTGGAACTCAATTCTCTACCAATAGTCTTTTATAGGACCATTTAAAACTTCATGATTGTTTGACATGAACTTCATCACAGCATGAAATCGGTACATAAAATATTTAAAAAATTTCAACTGAATTAGTTAAAGATATCTGTTTCTAAATAGATTTTCAAATTTTAGAAGTCCGCCATATTGGATTGAGAATGACGTCACATTTTTTTCGAGTTACTCTCAGCAAGCCCTTTAATTTGATACCCATATTGTAGGAATGCATTAAAAATGATTGGTCCGCCATTTTGGGTATGCCGCCATATTGGATTTAGAATGACGTCACACTGTTAATCATGCATTGTCATCCGAACTGAACGAGCATACCAAATTTCAGCTTAATCGGTTGAGGGCAAGTGCTTAAAAATTGAGTTGTAAGATTTGACCGTAACAAACATACATAGCAAGTTAAATAAAAGCTTGTAAAAACGGAGCAATTTCACTAAGTCCGTTTGATATTTCGCCAGAGAGAACAGCTTCACGACAAAAGGACGTTAGGGCTAAAAAATGTTGTGATTCTACTTAAGAGTTCCAATAAAAGGGATCTCTTTGTATCCTTAGACATAATATAATATTAATAACAAATTTATTTATTTGCCCCAACATTATTACATACTTAAATCATAACATTTGTTTTCTTTATGCCTAATAACGGAGACAGTATTACTTAAAATTAAAAATACAATAAAATAGCACTTACAATACACTGGTACCTAAACTAGGCCGAGCCTGTATAAAAGGTACTGGATCCTTCCATACTTTTTGAATTTTGTGCTTGTGGATTCTGCAAGAATTTCGGGTATTTAATTGTTTACATCTAAACTAAAGAAGAATATAAATTATTATCTATTTGACAGTATGGAATAAAACAAAAATCAACTTAATCATATACTGATATAAGCCAATCTGTAATTTTGATTTTGCATTTATGGTAATGTAATGGCTAAATATTGTGAATTTTATTTATCTTTTTCATATAAGACTAGTGGCCCGCCCTCACTTCTCTTTGGTGTAGAGTAGTTAAGACTATAGTTGTTGTTCTCAGGCTTCTATTAAACACAATGACTTTCTTTAAATACCTAATTACTATAGGCACGCGCCGCCGCCGGCCCGTAATTAAATAAATGAAATAGGTAAATTACAATGAAATTAATTAAAAATAAATAAATTGTAATGAAATACTGTGTTAGTATTTCTTTAGAATTTTAATTTCAATCATCATTCTATATAAAAATAACTAAAATTAATAATTTAAAAATTACAAATTATTATTTTTACTGCACCCTCCTAGCCTGATCACCAGACATGTAGTTTGATGAAC